GGGCTGGGGGCCGTAGCTGTGGCCGTGTGAGGGTCTGGGCTGGGGGCCGGGGCTATGGCTGGGTGAGGGTCTGGGTTGGGGGCCAGGGCTGTTGCTGGGTGAGGGTCTGGGCTGGGGGCCATGGCCATGTGAGGGACTGGGCTGGGGGCAGTGGCCGTGGCCATGTGAGGGTCTGGGCTGCAGGAAGATGTACTCCAGTGAGCCTGTGCTTCCTGGCAGGCTGGGGTGGGAGACGCAGCTACACTCCGCAGAACCCCTGCCTGCGAGTCGCTGTGCGTGGAGGATGGACCCCCTTCCTGGGTAACTGGAAGGATGAGTGCTAAGGGGTGTGATGTGAGCAGGAAAGGGACCTGGGCTGGTGGTAGGGCCAGAGAGCTGAGCCCCAGGGGCCGGGAAGGAGTTGTGGGCAGGATCTGTGGGCCTCCAGCAGAGCGGAAAGAGAAGGGGCTTCGCTGGCAAGAGCTGGGGAAGAGAGAGTGAGGAGGGGGCTCGAGGGCTTGATGGGCGACGGTGCAGTAGGGACATGCCGGGCACTCACCTATGGCCCTGACTGTGCCCAGGGCCCTGACTGTGGCGCATTTAAACCCATAGTTCCCAAAGTGTGGTCCCAGACCAGCAGCCCCAGAGAACCTCAGACGTGAGGGGTGGGGAATCCTGGGGTGGGCTCAGACATGTGTGCTCACACCTCCCTCCCGTCACAGATCTGAGGCCTCTTTTGACTCACACATGGATTCACACACACACCCAGGGGCTTTCAGACCCCTGACAGCGGGATGCCTCATCACCACACCACCCCCACTTTATAGACGGGACAACGGAAACACAGAGATGTTAAATCATTTGCCCAAAGTATTCTGAGTGGGTGGCAGAGCTGAGGCTGGGGCTGAGGCAAGCCGGCTCTAGAACTTCCCGTCCAGCGTGGTAGCCATCAGCCCCACTGGCTATTATATTTTAAAGTCTATAAATAAAATTTATAATCCACTTCTTCAGTTGCACTTGCCACGTTACAAAGGCTTGAGCCACCTGTGGCTGGTGGCCACCATCAGAACAACCCAGCCGTTTCCCTCCACTTCCGAGCTCTGCAGGCTGCTGGTCTAGGGGTCTCCTAACCGCCGCAGTTTCTACCTTCCAAAGCACCCCATCCTGCCTGGGGCAAGAGAGGGCAGATGTGTGAGCACACAAACTGAAAACCAAACAAGCACAGGAGGTCCGCCCTGCACCGCACCAAGAAGTCAGTGGCAGTGGTGGGGGGGCTCGTGGTGCAAGCTCCGCCCAGGGCCCTGGCAAGCCCCGGGGAGGTTCGGAGTCCTGGGTGGGATGTCTGGTCACTGCGATGCGTGCTCCTGGAGACACACAGTCCGGTCCACAGGCAGGCAAATACGCATCTGTCAGAAACCACCCCCAGCCCGGCCTCCCTCCCAAGGGCTTCCCATCCAGCACGTAGCCCAGCTGCTTTCTCCTGGAAGAGAAGGTTCCCAGAGCAAGCCCTCTCTGGGGAGCACCTGAGCCCAGAACTCCAGAGATGGCGGCCGGTCCCTGGTTGGCCATCTGAACACCTGGAAATGGATCAAAGGAGAGAAGGCACCTGGGGACTCCTCCCCCAGGACAGCCAGGGAAACCCAGGGGGAGTCCAAAAAGGAAGCCCCTGAGGAGGTCTACAGAGCCCCTGCCCTTCACTGGGATCACGCATCTGAACGTCTTCAGAGACCAGATAAAGAAACAGCGTATTTCCATAATCAGAAACTTTCGGCTGGGCGTGGTGGTTCATGCCTGTAATCCCAGCACTTTGGGAAGCTGAGGCGGGCAGATCACCTGAGGTCAGGAGTTTGAGACCAGCCTGGCCAACATGGCGAAACCCTGTCTCTACTAAAAATACAAAAAAAATTAGTCAGACGTGGTGGCACGGGCCTGTAGTCCCAGGTACTCAGGAGGCTGAGACATGAGAATGGCTTGAACCCGGGAGGTGGAGGTTGCAGTGAGCCGAGATCACGCCACTGCACTCTAGTCTGGGTGACAGTGAGAAGCTGTCTCAAACTTCAAAACCAGAACCTCAGACCTTCCCAAGCAATTGTTCTGGGGAGATGGGGTGCCCACAGGATGCCCCCTGCAGTCTGACTGACCTCTGGGCCCAGCCTGGGGTGGGGTGGCCTCTGGGAGCCTCGGGAGCAGGTGAGGACTCCCAGGCTGCTCGGGAAGGGGTCTGTATCTAAACAAGAGCCTGAAATGCCATGTGGGTGACCCTCGCCCACATTTCCTGGCCTTCTGTCCAGGGAGGGGAATTCGGGAGCAGGCGTGCATGGAGAAACTGCTCCCGGTCTGCTTCTGTCTTCCTAATGAGGCTTTTAAAAATCAAAAGGGAGGATGCTGGAGGGTGAAACCACGGTTTAACAAAACCCGGAATGGGAAGAGGGGGAGGGGGACCCTGCCCCCACCCTGGGGAGGCTTTGACAGGGAACCAGACAGCGGCCTGGGTGGACAGGAGGAGGCTGGGTGAACAGGAAGTCCCCCCACACCAGTGAGCTACTTTCCCGACTGCCTCAGCCCAGCAAACAGCCCGTGATGCCCGGACCACACCCTTCCTGCCCCGCACGAAAGGCCGCCAGTCGCCTCTCCCAGAGGCATGGTAATGTGGACCCCGCAGAGTGGGCAGGGACCCCTTCCCACTAAGGGCAACCGAGGGCACCCTCCCTTCCGCCCTCCAGCAAACCACCATTATCCTCCGAGGGCCTGTGCAGGGCTGTGGCCCCGACCTGAACCAGAGTTCCCATGACTGTGTAGGGCTCGAAGTCGCCACTCCTCGTGGAGGCCCTCTGGACCAACCAATGCCCACTCTCTGTGACACCTCCCAGTTGGATTTTCTTAAGATTATCCCTGGCTGATATTCTACTTGGCCCTGTGTTCAGGGTCTCTCTCCCACTTCTAAGGGGTTCATCTGTCTCAGCCGCTGCGGGGTCACCAACAGCGCCTGGACACAGGAGGCATCCGGCGAATACGCGCTGCGTGAATCAATGACTCCAGTGCCCACGCGCAAGGGGCCCCGGGGCTCAGGAAACCCCACCGGGCAGGCCCCTCCGAGCTCGGCCTGTCCTGGGGGTGGAGGAGGAAGTTCGCCCCGCGCCTGCCTCGCAACC